TTGAGTTAATTGTTTATACATAAAAAGATAATGTCTAGTGACTATATAGTTTTATTTATTTAAGGATTAGTAGACAACTTCTTTAATTAAATAAAAATTATATATTAAGATGAGGATCAGATAAGAATTAAGGACATTATATTGCAATAAATTATACTTAATATAATGAATTTTATCCAACAAGAATTTTTGTTGTATTTATATAATTAATTAAAATAAAATATCAAATTATTCAAAATATGCCCACATGAATTATGAATAAGTACATAATTTGATATTATAAAGTTTACTTTGGGATAGAATATTAAATTGTTTTCATTATAAACTTAAATATGAATTAAGTGCATAATTTGATAATTCTATTATAAGGAATAATAGAATATGCTGGAATTAAAAATTTAGCCCATGGGCAATTTATATGTCATTAAATTCAATTTTAGCATGATTAACATTGGTAAACCATGCAATCTGTTCAATTAAGCCTCAATTTTAACATTATGCGGCTCCACAACCTGCTAATTTCTCTGAAATTCTTCGCGATGTTCCCGAATTAAAGGGCAATAACCACAAAGTATGGAATGAGAGAATTCTTCTTTATTTAGCGTGGATGAATATTGATTATACTATTAGAAAAGACGAACCACCTAAAATTATCAAAGCTAGCACTGCAGCAGACATCATGCTTTATAAAATGGGAGCAATTTAATCGTCTCAATGTGATGTTCATAAAGATTAAAATTTTCGCTGGTATACGTGGTTCCATCAATCAACATGACAAGGTCCCGGACTTGATAAAGGTCATTGATGATCAATTCGTCACTTCAGATAAGGCATTAGCAAGCACCTTTATAATAAAGTTCTCATTCTTAAAGCTCACCGGTGTGAAAGGTGTGTGCGAGCACATCATGCAAATGAGAGACATGAAGGCTCAACTTAAGAAACTCGAGGTTGAGTTGTTTGAATCCTTCATTGTGCACTACACCTTAAATACTCTCCCATAACAGTATGGACTCTTTAAAATCTTGTACAACACACATAAAGATAAGGTCAAGAAATGAATTAATGACTATGCGTATTCAAGAAGAATGGAGACTAATAATGGAACAATGTGAAAATGTAATTTTGACCACAACTTGTGGAAAAGGGAAGGCTTAAGTCAATTAGAAGGGGAAAAGGTAAATTACCACCCAAGATGATATCAAGAAAGAGGCTAAATGTTACCTCTTTAAGAAAAAGGGCACATGAAAAGATTGTGCCAAATTAAGAAATGGCTTAATGATAAGGTAATCCAATCTCGTTTGTTTGTTATGAATCTAATATGGTTAATGTAAATATTAACGCCTGGTGGATTGACTCTAGATCTACAATCCATATTGCAACTCCTTGCAGGGTATGCAAAATCTAAGGAAGCCAATAGGAAGTTAGCAAGATATCATATTCGGAAACAAGATGGGTTCACATGTGGAGGCTATAGGAACATGCATTTTAACTTTAAGTAGTGGCTTTGTTTTAAAATTAGATAGGACCTTTTATATTCCAAGCTTTTTATGAAACTTGATTTCTATTTTCAGATTTGTACTATTGGGATATTCCTTTAATTTTTCAAACACGTTACTCAGCTTATTATATAATTTTGATTGTCTTGGGAATGATATTTTGATTGATGGTCTTTATCGTATTAGTTCACAAAAAAATATCGCTTATTTTCCAATGCATGTTTACATTGACACTAAACGGTGTAATATTAATAAAGACTCCTCTATATTGTGGCATCAGAGTTGGAACATATCTCCATAGATAGAATTAAAAGATTAGTAAATGATGGAGTACTTAGTACTCTAGATTTCACTTATTTTTGACATATGTGTGGACTGTATTAAGGAAAAACAAGCCAACAAGTCCAAGAAATGTGCCAACATGAGTTATATGTAGTCCAGGCATGGACTCAAATGGTTAGAAATATTTCATCACCTTTTATTGATGATCACTCACGATATTTGTATCTCTACTTGCTTCATAATAAGAGCGAAGAATTGGATGTTTTAAAACTTTTAAGGTTGAAGTAGAGAAGTAATGTGAAAACAGATTAAGATCGTAAGATTAGATAGAGGCGGAAAATACTACGGTAAATATACGAAGGATGGACAAACACCTGGTTTATTCGCTAAGTTTCTTCAAGAGCATAGGATAGTTGCCCAATACACCATACCTGGTTCACCAGACCATAATGATATGGTAGAAAGAAAAAATAAAACATTATTGGACATGTGCGGAGCATGCTTAATAGCTCCAATCTTCCTAAATCCTTATGGACTGAAGCACTTAAGACAATAGTGTATACATTAAATTGAGTTCCAACTAAGGCTGTCCTAAAGAGACTGTTTGAATTGTTGGAAAGGTTGTAAATCGAGTTTGCAACATATTTGCGTTTGGGGATGCCTGTTTGAAGTGAGGATCTATAATCCACAAAGAAAGAAGTTGGACCAAGGAACATTAGTGGATATGTCATTGAATACGCTGAAAGGTCTAAAGGATATAGATTTTATTGTCAATTCCACAAATCACAATACTAGGATTTTGGAATCAAGAAACGCTAAGTTTCTTGAGAATGACTTGATAAGTTGGAGCAATCAAACTAGGAACAAAATTCTTGAGTATGATCCTTAGAATCTCAACCTTTCTCTTCAAATGACAAATTAGTCATAGCTCACAGCACCTCTCAAGTATAAACAGGTGCCGAACAACCAATCATTGAAATTCTATAAGCTACTGACAACGTTCAAGTAGATTAGGTGATTCAAGATATACCAGAACCTTTTGAACAAATAGTTGAACCACAAGCTTCTCAAGAAGATAACAGTGCAACATTAAAAAGATCTATTAGAACAAAAAGGTCAACAATTCCTAGTAATTATGAAGTGTATCTACAAGAACCTAATCACATTATTGGAGTCGAAAACGATCCCGAGTTATTTTCACAGTTCATGAGTTGTAAACTATTAGAATTAGGATACAATGCCATGAAGGAATAAATGAGTTCTATGCAGAGTAATAGAGTCTGGGATCTTATTAAGTTGGCTAGGGGTGCCAAAGCTATTGGCAGTAAATGTGTCTTTAAAACTAAAAAAGACTCACTGGACAATATTGAAAGATATAAGGCGAGACTTGTTGCCAAGATATTCACTCAAAAGAAGGGACTCGATTGTATGGAGACCTTCTCTCTGATATCTAAAAAAGATTCTCTACGCATTATTTTGACATTAGTAACCCAGTTTAACCTTGAATTACAACAAATGGATGTAAAAATAGCACTTTTCAATGGTAATTTAGAGGAGGGGTTTATATAAAACAACCTAAAGTTTTTACAGAAGGCAGAAGAACGAGTTTAGGATTTAGAAAGGGAAGGAATGAAGTAACACGATAATAACATATCAAATTTCGGAAATTTATATTTAAAATATAATATAGAATAAAATAAAAAATAAGTTTTGAAGTTTCCACCATTTTGCCATCCCTAAACAAATGGAAGACACAAAACATAGCTATCTACTTTAAAACTAGGGTAATTAGCACAAAACGTCCCTACCTTTCGTTTTTTGACGGATTACACCCTCATCTTTACCTTTTTTTTTTTGCACAAAACGTTATTCTATCAACTCTCCGTTAAAATACTCCGTTAAATCAAAGGGTAATTAGCACAAAAGATTCCCACCTTTCAATATTATTGTGCAAAACGTCCATACATTTTATTTTTGGCATAATTAGCACAAAAGGTCCCTACCTTTCAATGTTATTGTGAAAAAGGTCTCAACCTTTCTTTTTTAGCATTTTCACCTCTACCTTTCACCTTTCATTGCGCAAAAGGTCATTTTCATCCATTTTTTCAATAAAATTACGATTTTACCTTCCTATTCAAATAAAACAAAAAGAAAAGATAAATTATCAACTGCAACCATAGTTCTTAAATTTTTAAAAAATTACAAAGAAATTATAAATTCTCAACCACCACCACTTTCACAACCTATCAAGCTGTCAACTATAAATCCACATAACATTACCTTTCAGCCACCATGCCCACTGGACTCTACCACCGTAAATGTGGTTGTTTCGGACAGATTGGTGACCAATACTATGGAGAAGGATATTGAGGAGAGTGAGGCGAGGCTGGTGATGGTGGAGTCCGATAGGTGCTGTGGTCGAAAGGTGGTGTTATATGGATTTATAGGTGGTGACTTGGTGGGGTTGTGAAAGTGGCGGTAGTGAAGAATTTAGGACTTATCTGTAATGTTTTGAAAGATTTAGGACTATAATTACAATTAATTATTTATTTTTCTTTTCTTTTTTTTTTGTTTTATTTGAATAGGAGGGTTAAATCGTCATTTTATTGAAAAAATAGATGAAAGGGACCTTTTGCGCAATGAAAGGCGAAAGGTAGGGGTGAAAATACTAAAAAATGAAAAGTATGGACGTTTTATACAATAACATTGAAAGGTAGGAACATTTTGTGCTAATTATGCCAAAAAAATGAAAAGTATGGACGTTTTTCACAATAATATTGAAAGGTAGGGACCTTTTGTGCTAATTATCCTTTGATTTAACGGAGCATTTTAACAGGGAGTTGACAAAATGATGTTTTGCACAAAAAAGGGGAAAGGTGAAGGTGTAATCCACCAAAAAATGAAAGATAGGGAGGTTTTCCACAAAAACATCGAAAGATAGGGACGTTTTGTGCTAATTACCCTTAAAACTATATTAACTAACAAATGCAACTAAATTTCTTTATCAACGCTTTGCCAAATCTCTTTTGCCTTCGTTTCAATTGTCCAATATGTCACACTTGAATATTGATAATTGACACCACTAATCTCTGTGTCTCCATTGTCATTTTCACCACACAAGAGGGGATGGGTAATCATAATTCTTCTTAAATGTGAGAATTAATGCACTCTATACCTCTTATCTCTCTCTTTTTTGGAACAAGAAACCATTGCCCATTCCTAGAAATCTTAGGCCTTAGTTCTTTAATGCAATCTCAGTTGACAGGTTTCCTTGCATTCAATGATGAACGTTTGATAAAATTGTGGCCTCTAAATTTCAATACATAGTGAGCTAAAAAAATACAAACCCAAACACTTGGCAGCCGTACAAAGATAAGTGAATTAAATTTTTGCTGCGTTTCTATTTAAGAGGTGGGGTGTGTTAGGTGAACTTCGTCCAGTTCATTAGTTCTTGTGTCTTCTTCATCCTGAGTTATTGGAAACAAGAGTAAAAATGAGTAGTTATCTTGGTGTAGGTGTGAGTCCTGGAAATGTTCCTGTTTATCATGGGAGCAATTTGAAGGTAATTGACAGGAGAGTGAGGCTTGCTGAACTGATTTTAAGGTGTTTGATATGTGGTCTATCTATACTTTCTGCTGTTCTTATCGGGACTGACTCTCAAGTTAGAGAGATTTTTTCGATTCAGAAGAAGGCTAAATTCACAGACATGAAAGCCCTTGTGTAAGATTTTTTCTTCTCTTGTTGAAATTCTGAGAAAGAAAGCTCCCCAAATTTAATCTTGTTCTTGACGTGCTTTTGATTATGCAGTTTCTTGGTAATAGCCAATGGGTTAGCTGCGGCCTACTCACTGGTCCAAGTTCTGAGGTGCGTTTTGGGTATGATTAGAGGAAGTGTGCTGTTCAACAAGCCCTTAGCTTGGGTCATTTTCTCCGGTGATCAGGTAACTACTCAAAGGGCATGTTTAGTAATTAGTATTGAGGTGAACTTGACAGTAAAAGTGACGAGAGTTTAGATTTTATTACTTCAGTACTGTATTAGTTCTATCCATTCTACCAAATATCGTATAAAGATTTTACTGCTGTAAAAATGACTTGATTTTGAGCATTTAACCAGTCATGCATAAGTGGAATTTTGTTCAAGAAACACTTTTGATCCGTATTTGAGTTTTAATTAAAGCTGATTTCTGTATGGCATCTGCCTCTGGACTATTGAGGGGCTTCCATCTGAACTTAACTAACCAGCATAATTTGTAACAACCCGGGCCTTCTTGCCCAAGCCGTTAGCTCATATATCCTGTCTGCTTTAGGAGAGCATGCGCCCATCTTATTCTCATGGATTGATCTTAGAAACCAATCAAGTTCCGGGAAAAAATCTCACTATTGTATTCGTCTAGAAGAAAAACAAAAATAGGATTTCTTTGGGTCTCCAGGTTCAATCAAGACCATCCCTCTAATTAGAGGAATCCCAATACCAATTAAGCAACTTTCCACCCCAAACCAGAGGTACCTTTACTATTTTTCTTTTGTCCATGATCTGCATTTTCCATTTAGTCATATCTGATGGCAAGAAATCAAAAGAACATGAAAAATCTCTTCAACCGTATCAAGTAATGCAAGTATCATAATCTGTGATGTATACTATTCATCAAACTGTACTAATTATCTTCGATTCCCATCATTCAGATCATTCTTTTTATGTTTAGCCTAAACATATCAAGTTTGATAATCTTATAGTCGAAAGTGCTTAAGTTGGTTCACTTGTGCAGATAATGGCCTACTTGACTCTAGCAGCAGTGGCAGCCGCTGCTCAGTCTGGTGTTTTTGCCAAGCTTGGGCAGACGGAACTTCAATGGATGAAGATTTGCAACATGTATTTGAAATTCTGCAACCAAGTCGGGGAAGGCATAGCCGGTGCACTAGTTGTAAGCATCGCTATGGTCTTCCTCTCTGCTATTTCCGCGTTTAGTCTGTTCCGTCTGTATGGAGATAACAAAGGAAAGAACAATGAAAGCTGGTAAATTTCGTCGTACATTACCAGTCCTATCAAGTTTTTCACTTTCCCTTAGACTCGAAGTTGTGTAACTTGTTCCATATATGTGAAAGACGATGACCCTTTTGTTTGTATAATAAAAGGAGTTTCTCTTTGTGTTGATGCATCTGAATTAAGTATGAATCCTGTTAAGTAACCTCTGATTAAAACAAGCAGTGTAACTTATTTAATCTAAAGTAATGAAAATACTAGGAAGAATCAGGGAAAAATTCTCACTTTAAGGTTTCCTTAATTGTGAAGAGAGACATCCCATGTTCTTGCATTAATCTTGAGTCGTTTGTAAATTCTAATGAAATAGCAACTCTACTACTATGGCATGTTTGTTGAGCTCGATTTGACGGATAGGACAATATTAAAAAAAACAAAATGTTAAAAGTTTGTCGTTATGTCTTCAAGTTGTATTTAATACTCGAAAATATCAAAGTTGTAATTAATACTTGAAATGTTTGATTTTCATGAAGGATTATTCATGTGTTGATTTTGTGTTCTTCTAAAAACACAAATACCTTTACAAAATACGATTTTATTAGACGAATTGATGTTTTGGCAATGTGACGACAAAATTAATGAGGGCTTTGTAAGTCACATCATATTTTATCGTACAAATAAATAATTTTTTAACGTATATCTGCAACATTTTTTCCAAACTGTTTAGGTCATGACTTCATGGACCAAAAAAAGTGTCACCCTATTCAATTTTTTCTTATTATATACAAGTAAATAACGCATATCAACATTATCCAACGCAGTTTAGTTTATCACTTCAAGTTTTTTGTAGGTCTGCCACTTGTCTTTCTATTAAAGATATAGAAACAATGATGCTAGAAGTGAAATATGATTGACAACGTGGTTGACAAAGTGGTCAAGTAGCGACCTCCTATTGAAGAGGCGTCTCGCCAAGTGGCGGCCCCCTATTAGCACTTGACATTTTTGTCAATCATGTTGTACAAGATATTATATAAATCGAATAATTCATATAGAAAACCTTCTAGATTAGTTGATTTTAATGAAAAATAAGGCAACATGATATGTATCACAAAAATTCTGCATATGCAGAACACTGTTTCACAGAAATTGGCCAGAAATTTCACATTGTGCGATCCCCATATTATGATAAAAAAATGCAAAAAAATCACCCACCCTCCTGCTATTGTTTCTGTGCGTACAGTGCTATTCTATGTATCGTAGATAAAATAAGGTAATATAAAACGTAATCCTTGAAAAACAATATAACCTAAATAGTGATCCCCTAAAATATAGATTTTCAATGAAAAACTGAAATGCACGTTTTTTACATGTCATGTTACTTTTTGTGATTAAGAAAAGGTAACAAGTTTTGACATCTCAGTACTATTTAAATTTTTGTTCTAAAGTAGGGTATTTTGGAAAACTTGTCAATGTTGAACGTGTGTTGCTTTATTATGAAATACCTTATAAGTTATGTAAAAATAATATTTAAATATACGTGAATTTTAATTAATTTATAATTAATACCATGAAACATATATGTGACAATAAATGTTAAATCATTTATTTAATTTTCAATTAAGTAAAAATGGATGTTAATTAGCATACATGGATATTAATAATGAAATGCATTCTTGAATGTGAAATTTCAAATTAACTTATAATTAGAATTAATAACATTAAAACGCATAAAATGAATATGAATATTAATTAGATGAATTTGAATGTTAATTAGTCGGGAATTAATAATAGAAAATTCATAAATTAATGAAAGGAAAATGAACATGTCAAATGTACATGTACATTGATGGTAACTAAATGGTTAAATAAATTAATATATGTTGAAAAATAAAAAGCAATGTATTATTAAAATAATTGAATTATAATAGGGTTAAAATAATACAAATATTTATTCTTACTTGATATGATGTTTAATATATTATAAATTTTCTAACAAATTATTGAATTGGGCTAAGCCCAACAAAATTTGTTAGGGCATCAAGAGCTAGAAAATAAAGCCCAAAAGAGGCTATGAAAATAATATATAAAGAAAAAGAAAAGTTCAAACTCTAGGAAATTAGGAACAGTTCAAGTCATATTTTTTGTCGATGCATTCTGAAGAAAAAATAAAAAAGAAAGGAAAAAGAATTAAAAAAAAATATCAAATATATAAATATAACGAGACACTGGTCGGATGAGATGGGCCGAACCAAGGCTGCTCATCCCTTACGCATACAAGCTCTGCTTGCTCGATGGAAAAGTCGAACTCGACTCATCACAAACTGGGCTCGATTTGGTCTTTTATGCCTGTAGGCCTCATGGTTAGGTCAAACCGCCCACGAGTCATGACCCTATTTATTTTAAAGAATTCTTTTTTAAAAAAATTCAAAATAAAACAAATCTAACTCATGGGCTCAAAACGAGCCGCTCGTAAAAAAGGATATCCAGCTCTGTCTATGCTCTTTTCAAATCGAATTCGAGCCATCAATAATCTAGTCGCGAGGTGCGAAGCTCGCCAATTGCTCGATTTGTCGGCCACCCCCCAGACAATAGGAGACAATAATCAGCATTTGTTTGTCAATCATTATACCACATTATTTTTCTACAATACTCATTTTCAGTCACACATTTTTCGTTAAAATAATATTATATATAAATAAAAAAATTATTCTTTTTAATCACACATTTCACATCAATCATTATTGTATAATATACTTTTTAAAATTAAAGGCGTCAATAAGAGGAAAGGAAAAATAAAATAAAATATTTGTATATATATATTTGACGTTTGGTTCATTCATAAGCTGGTGCCGTCATTGGGTAGATACAATTCTACACGGCCTCCGATCGTGTTCAAATTCCCCTATTCTTCTCCCCTATCAAATTAGAATTTTCAAATCCCAAAAATTTGTGAATCTTCAATAATTTATTTTCCCTAAGTTTGAAGCTTTATAATTGTAATTCGCCACATACCCGTTTGTACATCTTTACATATAGGGATAATGTCGGAGAAATTCTCGGCGACGCTTAGAATTGGGGACTTGAATGATTATATAGCACCGTCTCAAGGTTGCGTTATTAAAAAAGAGGTAATAGCTGTTTTTTTTTCAGCTAGGGTTGTTATGTTAGAATTTGATTTCTTGTTTCTTCTTGATTACTGTTCGGTTCTGTTTTCGCACTTTCTGCTAATAGCGTTTACTTGCAGTTTTTCGAGTTCTTCATTTGCATCTAATTTAGATAGAATAGTGAATTGTATTTTTTAGTCATTTCGGATTATGTTGTTTTTTACTCAAAATGCAATCAAAATTGTGAGTTTTGAAGCCCTTCTAATTTGTTTAGAATTTATTATTTGATGATGTGATCAACAGCGTATTATTTTTCAGCTTCAGCCAAGTCCAGATTTAGGCATTTTCACTTTTTCATAATAAGGAAAAAAAATAAAGAATAAAAAAAATAAAAAGGCTCCGAAGAAGGCTCAGGTAGAGTATAAGCTTTGAACTTCTTTCGTGGGGAGAATTGCATATTCTCCATTTGTTTGAAAGACTTTACCTTTATCTTTTGTGACTTGTGATGGTTCGCTCTTTTTATCTTAATAATCATGTTTTGGTTACTCTTAAACAGGGTGCTGGGAAAGTTAAAACGACTCCTAAAGAAGTGCAAAATGAATCTGTGAAGATCTCGCTCAAAGATTGCTTAGCATGCAGGTCTAGTAAAATACCCCACTCCATTATACCGTTCTGTTTTTCTGATCTGAAATAGATAGATATTTAACTCTCTGAAATATAGTTCAAGCTAGATGCTTTACATACTATAACTGAATACATAATTATTACAATTATTTAATTCGTCTTGATTTTCATTCTGAATCATGATTTGGAAATTATTAAATATGACCTGGTAGTGGAGTAACTGATACTAATGATTATCATGCAGTGGGTGTATAACATCAGCTGAAACTGTCATGCTTGAGAAGCAAAGCTTTGACGAGTTTCTTTCTAACCTTAAAAAAGGAAAAGCTGTTATTGTCTCCCTTTCTCCCCAGTCTAGAGCATCTATTGCTGTTCATTTTGGTCTTTCTTCCCTCCAAGTAAGAAGTTACATAAAGACCATATGGTTTCTACTATTTAATAATCGTTGTTCTCTGCAAAATACATGAAATGTTGGTCTTTCAACTATGTACTTGTACTTCCTGAAGTTACCTAATGTTTAATTATTTTCAGGTCTTGTCAAAGCTCACAACATTCTTTAAGTCCTTAGGAGTGAAAGCCGTATTTGATACCAGCAGCAGTCGAGATTTAACACTTATTGAATCTTGTAATGAATTTATAACACGCTATAAACAAAGCAATTCTACCAATGACGTGAAATCCAAATCGGCTTTTCCCATGATTTCTTCAGCATGTCCAGGTATACATCTCCCTTTCTGCAATAATTAGATAATAACACGAATTGTTGTACCTTGACTAGATAAAGGCCTGTACTTTTGCTTCCTGAAGCTTGAAGAGCTTTATGATTTGTATCTGAGTTTCTTATGATGCTTTCTGAATTTGCAGGTTGGATATGCTATGCAGAAAAAACACTTGGATCCTACATACTTCCATATATTTCTTCAGTGAAAAGCCCCCAGCAAATAATTGGAGCTGTCATTAAGAACCACATATGCCAAAAACTATGTCTGAGGTTATAAATCATCTTTGTTAATGTGCCAAACATTTTATTATGATTTCAAGCATATTCCGTGGATGTCACACTTCTATCTTGATGTTGGGTTCAATAGCATACTAAGTGCAGTAGCAGAGAAGGAGCTTGAAATCATTAATTAGAAATATAAATGTGTTCATTTTGAGAGGGAGCTTGAATCATTAATTAGAAATATAAATGTGTTCATTTTGAGAGGGAGCTTGAATCATTAATTAGAAATATAAATGTGTTCATTTTGAGAGGGAGCTTGAATCATTAATTAGAAATATAAATGTGTTAATTTATTTGTAGTGTATATGAGGTTGAGCACATTGGTCAATTATGTAATGTGAGGAGATTTATTTTGTCTACAGCAGAATTAGGCTTCAGGGATAAGTAGCTTTTGTCCCTTATAACTGCTTGATTAGAAGAGTACTAAATTTTGACGATGTGGATAAATTTTATTTCTGGGCAGAGCAGAAGAGATATATCATGTGACTGTGATGCCTTGTTATGACAAAAAGCTTGAGGCTGTTCGGGACGACTTTGTGTTCCAAGTAGATTCTGAAGGTGAAAGAATTACAGAGGTGGATTCTGTGTTGACAACTGGAGAGGTTTTAGATTTGATTCAGGTAATATTCAGTATGGTAATGTGCATGTGTATTATTTTTTATTTTGTAGTATTCTTAAATTTTCATGTTGTTAATTTTTGCAGTCTAAATCGGTCGATTTTACAACCTTGGACGAATCTCCGGTGGATAAATTGTAAGAAAATGTACTGTTTCTAGATTACTATAATTACATTGGATTTCCAGTGACAAGCAAAAAAATATTGTTTTCTGCAGATTGTCAAATGTAGATGAAGAAGGCCGCATTTATGGTGTTCGTGGGGGCTCGGGGGGTTACGCAGACACTGTATTCCGTCATGCTGCAAGAATGCTTTTTGGGAAAGAATTTGGAGGTCCTCTCCAGTTTAAGACTATAAGGAACTCAGATTTTCAGGAAGTTACTCTTGAAGTAAGTTTCGTCCATCCTTGTGTTGGCAGTGTTGATGAGCACATGGTAGGGAGTTTCAAGTCTAGTTTTGAAAGTAGCTCCATCTTGACCCCTGATAAATGGATGCCATCTTTGATCTTTTAGACTTTTACTATTACTCTCGTTGCCTCTGCTGCGTGACTCTCAAAATTGTTATCTACTCTTTACTTCACTTACCTACCTTTTTAACTATTGAGTCATCCAAGAAACAGCTCATAGGAAAGGATATTTCCTATATAAATGTTATTTTTGTATTGTTAATTAATTTTTTCTGATAATCTAAGTGCAGGTCGAGGGTAAAACTGTCTTGAAATTTGCACAGTGTTATGGATTCAGAAACCTGATAAACATTGTTACAAAAATTAAAACTGGAAAGTGCAACTATCATTTCTTGGAGATTATGGCATGTCCTTCAGGTATTATTGGTTTACTAGATCATGTCCACGTGCACTGATGGTCATTCATTTGAAGTATTGCCTGTTCCTTAAAAAATCATACAAGCTCTAATGTATATACGTGTCCCTTCCCTGTGAGCAACAGGATGTCTGAATGGTGGAGGTCAAATCAAGCCTAAGCCTGGGCAGTCTGCAAAAGATTTGATTCAGTTATTGGAAAATACGTATTCAGAAAATGTAAGTCAGTGTGGTTTTTTACTATGGGCTTCTTCACTTCGGGCGATTTTGTTTAATAACGGCCCAGTTTAGGGAACCTTGACTTGTTGTATATAGTGTTAATGTGTGACGGATGGAGGAAAAAAAATCATGTTGTCAACTGCATAAGAGGAAAAAATATAGAAGAATAAAGAATAAAATCAGCATTATTTCAGTGTCTGAACAATATTTGTCTTGTTTTGCCATTTTTTTCCTTTTATATTGTCACTACGTTAATATATATATATATATATAAGTTCGACAGTGTCTTTATCCTTGATGGTCTTTGTAATTTTCAGGAGTAGTCTCATTAAAACTTAACAAAATCAGTATTATGTTCCTCATATTTGGTGTGAACGGATATTTTTCTTTTTTTACCACATTTTATCATATCACAATTTGCAAGTAGTGCCGTTATCCTTGATTGTTGATAAAATTTGCAGATTACCCTTAAAGAAACTTTTGGAATGTTTTATTGTTTAATATTCTCTAATATTTTAGGTACTGGTAGCCGATCCTTTTGAAAATCCCCTTACCAAAAGCCTCTATAACGAGTGGCTTGAGCAACCTGGTTCAGAGAAAGCAAAGAGACATTTGCTCACAGAATATCACCCTGTTGTAAAAAGCATTTCTTCACAGTTGCAGAACTGGTGAGAAACGTATCTTCTTCCGATAATCATCT